GGAGGAACTTGGAGGAACATTTCAAGGTCCTCACTGAGCTGTGTGTGGAGGCTCCTGTTATGGCTTTGACATGCTTACCCCCCGCTGTGCTTTGAGCTTCAGGGTCACTGCCAGTAAAGTAGACCGTGTTGGGTGAGCTCGTCTTTAGGACTCTGCCAGCTCTGTGGGGACTCAGCATGGGGCACAGTCGTGATTCCTCTGTGTTGGGTTAATGTTTAGCCAGTGCACTGTAGATTTAGAAAAATGCATTTTAAAATAGTCTCTGCATGGCAAATTTTGGCCACTTCTTGATAGAGTCAAGGTCAGCTGCCAAAGATCTCTAGAAAAGTCATTGCTGGGATGGCTCTGGGGGGCTTCCCGCTGCACTCTGAGCACAGTGGCAGGTGACTGACAGGAAGGCCTACTCCAAGGGCAGTATAAAGCTTCTCTGGGGTCTTGGGTTCTGGGGGAGAGCCAGGGAAAGAATGAACTCTCTGCTGCTCTACTTAGGGAAAGTGAGGCAAAGCTTGCTTTGCAGTTAACAGAAGGCGTCAGTGCAGCCTTTGCACTGGCTGCTTTGCCTAGCTTTGTTTTTGGAGATTGGGCTTCAAGTGTACACCCAGTTGGCCTTGAATTCATCAAGTAGCTGAGGATGACCTTGAACTTTTGATCCTCCTGCTTTTACTTCCAAAATCTCAGGGTTACCTTTACTTGTGCTCCTTCCCCTGGGTTTTAAGTGATACTGGGGACTGAACCCAGACTTTGTGCAAAGACAGGCAAGCGCCCTACTGAGATAAATCCTAACTTGCACAGACCTTTTTAAAAACTCTGTTGCTAACCGGGTGGTGACGGCACATTCCTTTAATCCCAGCATTTGGGAGGCAGAGGCAGATGGACCTCTGTGAGTTCAAGGCACCTATTCCTTTAATCCCAGCACTTGGGAGGCAGAGGCTGGGCCACCTCTGGCCCACCTGGGCCACCTGGTCCACAAGAGCTAGTTCTAGGACAGGCTTGGACAGGCTCCAAAGCTACAGAGAAACCCTGTTTTTTTGGGGGGGGGCAACTAAAAACTCTGTTGCTAATCTTTAAAACACTTCAAAAATTACTTCACTTATTTATTTTATGTGAAAGGACGTTTTGCCCGCATGGATGTCTGCGTGAAGGGGTCAGGTTCCCTGGAACTGGAGTTACAGGCAGGTGTGAGTTGCCATGTGGGTGCTGGGAATTGGACCCGGGTCCTCTAGAAAAACAGAAGCCCTTAACCGCAGAGTCATCTCTCAAGTCCTCAAAACTTACTTCCAATTCTTTACTAGTGTGTGCGTGTGAGCTTGCTTATACCAGAGTGTTAATGTGGACATCAGAGGACGCCGTGGGAGAGTCAGGTCTTTCCTTCCACCGCAGGGGTCCTGGGGATTGGACTCGGGCCTTCAGCCTTGGCTGCATGTGCTTTTACCATTGAGCCATTTTGATGGCACAATATGGTTTGTTGTTGTTGTTGTTATTTGTTTGTTTAGATTTATTTATATTACGTATGAGAATGCTTGTTTGCATGCATGTATATGCGACACATGGGTGCTTGATGTGGTGAAAGGCTAGACGAGAGTGTTGAATTGGAACTGAAGTTACAGACGGTTGGGTAACTTCCTCACTAGCTTGTAATTGAACCTGGGTCCTTCAAAGGAGCAGCAAGGGCTCTTACTCTCTGAGCCATTTCTGCAGCCCCACCATCTTCATTTTTAATTAAAAAAAATCGAAGCAAATATATATATCTAACATAATAACTGTTTTCAATGTAAGTTCAGTGTTTTTGTTCTTTGTTTTTCTTTTGAATTTCGCTGTTTTTGTTTTCCGGTTTGTGTCACAGCTCCAGGAATTGAACCCAGACTCCCCCATGCTAGACAAAGGCTGACTCTTGAGCTTACAGGCCCAGACTGATTCCAGTGTACTTTTAAAAATTACATTCATAATGTTGTACAACCATTAGCAGTAGTCAATGCTAGATTTTTTTATCACTCTCCTTCAAAGAAAATCTGTTAATCCATACTGTTTCAGTGGGTTTATCGACCCTAGAAACATTTTATAAACACAGCCATAAGACTATGGAGCCTCTTGTGGCTTACTTTCTGCTTGTTTGATTTCTTTTGATTTTTTGAAACAGGATCTTATGCAGTCCAGGCTGGCCTTGAACTAACTGTTCAAGGGTGCCCTTGAACTCCCAACTTCACAAGTGTGTTCCTCGTTTGTGCCACTGTACCTGGTTTTATGCAGTACTGGTAGTGGAACCTGGAGCTCCATGCTCACTAGACAATGACTGTCGGCTGGGCTCCATTCTCTGCACTGTGTCTGACTCTTTTCATTCAGGGCAATGAATTCAAAGTTCATTTGCGAAGTTGCACGTATCTGTATTTTATTCTTTTCATATATCAGTAACATTCCACTATACAGATATACTACATTTCATTTTTCCATTTATTTCTTGTCTGATATAGATTTGAGCTGTTCCTCAGAATAATGCTATTATTCCAGGCCCAGTGGTAGATCCATCAACAGGTAGTCAGAAACAGGACTGCGAGTTTGGGGCTAGCCTGGGCTATGTAGTAGGAGTTTATCTCAAACCAAACAAAGGGACAGCAACGGAAAGAACAGTGCTGCTGTGAGCATTCGTGGGAAGCTCCCGGGCAAATGGGCTTTCAGTTCCCATGACCTGAGTTGCCCCATGTTGTCCGTTGCGTCTGACGGTTCCCTGAAAGCCCATGTGCCAAGGTCTTGATTGACAGCTTGGCATATTTAAGAGTTAGTTCCTATTGAGGGAAGCTAGGTCATCAGGGGTGTGCCCTCCAAAGCATTATTGAAACCTCCATCCCTTTCCCATTGTCCTCTTCACAGAAGCCACTGTACAAGCCGCTGGCTCTTCTATGAACTTTCTGTTGTGAGGGGATGCCTTGTCAAAGCAATGGACCCACCTGCCCATGGGATGAAACCTCTACTAAACAACTACTGGATTCTTAGACTTTCCCTTGGTAGACAGCCAGTATTGAACTAGCTGGACCACAGCCTGTACGCTACTCTAATAAATCCTATACCCATGCCTCGGAGGCTACTCTTGCGACAGATGTAAAAGGCAGAAGCTCAGGAGCCATGGCAACAGAGGTCCAGGTATCTGACCAAGGCTTTACTGACACATTCATGAGATCCAAGTCATCTGTGTGGCTAGCTTGAGCTAGACGAACCAGACAGGAAGCTGTTTGCTCGCTTTGGGAGTTCACATCTTTATCTGAAATGCCAGTAAGTTTTTCTCTACTTCCTGTAGCTAGCAAAGGTTCCATTACTCAGTATTTTTAAAGCAAAAGGGATGATCAATAAAAAGCTATACACACTATCCTGAAATAAATGCTATTTACAGACCAAAGAAATTTAGTATTGTTAAACTGTTGTTGGAATCTAACAGAGTCACTGTATCTCGGGTAGACCTTAGAATGAATAGTCGTTTGCACTCTTTCTAGAGCAAGCAAGTAGATAGTTGTTTTCTAGAAGTTCTTTAACCTTGAAGAAATCATTGTGGAAAATTCTATCATTTTTAGAGTTGATTTTGGGAAGCATCTTTACAGCCTACAAGACTTCGGTCACAGACACTTCTTGCACACATGAATCTTTTAGGTCACTGGGTATCGGAGACGGTACACAAGGAGGACTATGGGTACTGCAGATGGTACGTAAGAAGGACTAAAGCAGCAGGGGAATGATGCTTGCCTTTGGAAACTATATAGATTAGATCAGGGGCTTTGGTGTGAGGAACTTGTTTACCCAAAAAGCAACTTTGTGCAACAGTCAATAAATGTGCCTCAGTATGGCTGTTCAAGGGTCAGTACATCAGAGGTTGGACCTTCCTGCTGCCACGTAGGCCTAAAATTTTCATCTTGGAATAACCCCTTTCCTTGACCAACTCATGCAACTTAGAACACCCGACATTGAGTATTATTTAACAATAATTATATGCATGTATATATAATATATCCCTTCAATCTTTTCTCTTTCTGGTGTGAATGCCAATCCCTTTTTCCCCAGTAGAACTAATGAGCATTATCCAGAGAGTAAGGGAAATGACCACAGCGATGAAATGCTTACCTGGCTTCATATACTATCGAAATGTCTTTAAACTGTTAGTTAATTCTTCAAGGAGTTCTACAAGAGAGGCATCACTAAGTGATGGAGGAAAAAGTTCAGAGCTCTCGTTCAAGGTCACACACTTGAGGCCATAGATTTGAGGTTTGAAGTCAGCAGTCTCATTTTTGAACGATGCTTTGCCAATTTATGTTTCAGTTGGCACACACAGCAGCAGGTTTTCCTTCCACAGTTTTATACATATCTAGTTTTGGTTGATTGACACTTCCCACCACCCCCTGGGAGTCGGAGAGATCTTTTTGAAGTCTACCAGGAAGCAAGAGTCCCAATGCAGTCTCAAAGCCAATTGTCTAAAGCCTAGTCCGGAGAAGAACCAGGAGAATTGGGGAAGAAGCTGCGAGCTGGAGTTTGCTCCCTGGCAAGATGGAAGCAAGTGGCTAAGGATACAGGCTCTATATGTGATGTGACGGTGGAAGGGAGGTACTAGGGGCAAAGGGGTACAGTGGGCATGGGGGAGGGAGAGATGTGGGAAGAAAGGAAGACGCAGATGCTTGGCTGTCCTGATATTGAGTCCACATCAAGCTGTCATGTTGCCTGTTGCTGTGGAACTAGGTAACAAGTTCTTTCTCTCCCTCCCTACCCTCCCTTCCTCTTTCTCTTCCTCCCTCTTTCCCCCTCCTTCTTTTCTTTCCTCTCTCCTTCCCTCCTTCCCTCCCTCCGATTCCTTTTCTTTCCTTTTGCCCTTTCTCCCTTCCTTTTTTTCCCTCCCTCCCACCTGCAATGTTGAGCAAGGACCCTCTTTCTTGAGTCACACCCCAGCCATCAGTAGAGATTTCAATAATTTCCTCTCCTGAACCTTTCCTGACCGACTCTCTGACCCATGGCTCCCACAGACTGTCTGTACTGAGACTCTAGCTGGTCTGGTGCTTACTTGATCAGCTCCTTCTAGATCACACCCTGTGTCTTTGCCCTCTGGCTTGGACTCCCTCCAGCACTGTAATCATTAACGCCTTCGGGAAACCCACGGACAAAAGGGACCAGAGCCTGGACTCGTCACCAACCAGAGGCAGTGTCTGCTGAAGTCTGGAGATGGAGAGAAGCAAGGAGCAAGATGGCAGTGAGAAGCCCACAGGGTCAGAGCCTGACAGTGGGGCACCAGGACTGTCACTGAAGAGGGAGATTGGTCTGTGGAGTGCAGTTTCCATGACTGCTGGCTGTATGATTGGTTCTGGCATCTTCATGTCACCACAGGGGGTCTTGGTTTACATGGGTAGTCCTGGAGCCAGTCTTGTTGTCTGGGCCACTTGTGGCCTCCTGGCCATGCTGGGTGCCCTGTGCTATGCTGAACTGGGCAGTCTGGTTCCTGAATCTGGGGGAGACTATGCCTACATTTTACGAACCTTCGGCTCTTTGCCTGCCTTCCTGGTTATCTACACATTTGTACTGGTGGCCAGACCCGCTGCCATCACGGCTGTCTCTCTGAGTTTTGCTGAATATGCGCTGGCTCCCTTTTACCCAGGCTGCTCCTCATTCCCTCAGATCACGGTCAAGATTGTAGCTTCCTCTTGCATCCTGTTGCTGCTACTGATCAACTTCTGGAGCTCAAGGATATCCACGGTGGTGATGAACGTGTGCACAGCTGCCAAGGTGTTTTCATTGCTTATCATTGTAGTGGGTGGGGCTGTGGTGCTGGCCCAGGGCCACAGTCGTGCAGAATCCTGGCCGTTTGCCTTCCACAACACAACACAGCAGGCAGGGCGCATTGGCATGGCTTTCTACCAGGGCCTGTGGTCCTTTGATGGCTGGAATAATGTCAACATGGTTGTAGAGGAGCTCAAGAACCCAAAGGTGAGTTGAGTGTGCTGCTCTAGGGGTAAACCTCTGAGCATCTGCAGCTCCAGGAAATGGGGTTTCAACTACTCAAATGACCGGGATCATGAGCGACCTGACAGGAATCAAGGTTCCCTTGCTATACTCGGGACTGCGTGGCAGCCCATCTGCCTTGATTAGTTTATGGGATTTTATCAACAGCTTCTAACTAAAGCAGAGTACTTCATACTATCATACCCCATGGACTCATCTTTCTGCCCCTCAAGGTAGCCACCAACACTCCATGTTTTACAGGGGAAAACTGAAATTCACAAAAGGGGAATTACTCTGAATCCGTACTGCCAGCATTCTTATTGATTCTGCTGGCTGCCTCCTGTCTTGTTCCCTCTAGAACACTGCAGTAGATACATGCTCATAGTTTCCAAAGTCTGGGTGCCACTTGAGGACATAGCTTACTTTGGCTTGGGAAACAATCCAGTCATGCCTTTTCACCCCAACCTGTGAACCTGGTCTGGATAATCAGTGTGCGAGCTGATCTGAAGGGCCACCCCAGACTCTGTTGTGGCATTTGAATCTTCAGTTATTAATACACTGACTCTTTGCTATAAATGTATTTTCTGAGATGTTGTTTGTTTTCTTTTTCCCTTGTAGGAGTTTCAAATTCTCTCAGAATAGGAACTGCAAGTCTGCTGTCCCCGCTGGGCTGGCTTAGGGGCATTCCAGCTTTCAGAGGCTTGGCAAAGGCTTGCCCTCACTGGAGGGCGGCTTGAGAAGAGAATGGCAGTTTAGAGACAAAAGAGGAGAGAGAGAGAGAGAGAGAGAGAGAGAGAGAGAGAGAATGTATGCTCAGAGTCCTAGGATCTCATCCTTATTTTTATTTTTCTTCTCTGAGACACTCTCATTGTAGCCCAGGTGGGCGTTGAGCTTGTGCTGTGGCTAAGAATGTCTTTGAACTTCTGATCCTCCTGTCCTCACCCCCTAAATGGTGGGATTACAGGAGTCATCGGCATGCCTGGTGGTTTTAATTTTTTGCATGTGATTTCATGTTCCTAAGTTTTTGTCTGTGAAAAGGGACTATCATAATAACTGCCCTGACTTCCTTCTTCATTTCTGAGATTTCACTGGTACATTCTTGGCACACGGCTTGGGAAGCTCTCAAGTAAATGGGTAAATGGGTAGCATGTACATATGGTTGCCTGGCAGCCGTAGAGCCCCCTTCTCAATCTAGACTGTGGGCTTTCAGCTAGGTCAAGAAAAGAGCAGGGCTCCGGAAGTTGGTCTCTGAAGTTGAAGACAAGCTCCCATGGTTGTGGTGGTTATCAGCAAAGTCTTTCAAGAAAGGGTTCAAGAGTTAAGATTTTAAAGCCCCCTATCCATTAGTACCTGTCACAACTACTTTTTTCTGTTATGGTAGCAGAAAAACTGTTATAGGTAAATAAAGGAACACAGTTGTGTTTCAACCAAACATAATTGACAAAATCAGCCACGGGTTACAATTGGTCCACGGCTGTTGTTTGCTGACCTCTGCTGTTTTGTTGTGGGTTTCAAAGCAAAACCTAAGCCAGTCACCAGAATGCCAGCACCTGAAATGCTGCCCTAACTTGTTCTAAAAAGTATATTTATTTCATCCTCTCCTCACCTCCATCAGAGAAACTACAGAAGCGTTGTCAAACCAGGGTCAGCCATATATGCAGACTCCTTGGGATTTGAAGAATTCAGAGCCCTCAGAGTGAAGTCAGAAAATCTCACTGTTCTTGTAATACAATGGCCAGAAACGTACCAAGAACCCAACTCAGGGCTCTGCCGATGTCACAACTCATTGCTACTGGGAAAGTTGCCTGGGGAGAGGCCAAGTTCAAAAGCTTGCTGGGTTCCTTGCCCTGACGACGTGTGAGGTTGAGTCATGCATACTGGGTGCTCACTGTGCGGAGGGCATCCCCAAAAACCCTGTGGGAGTGAGAGTGCCTTGACTCCAGGTAGCCTTGCATGAGCCTAGGCAGAGCCGCATTCCAGCCCCTGGGTGGTAAAACCGTAGCTGCGGTATCCATTCTGTGGCCAAGGCTTTGAACTCAGAGTCTCACCCGTTTGCAGCGTGGTCCTCTTGGCAGCGTGACCAACTGACCAACAAAGCAGAGCGGTCAAACGCCTCCTGGGGGGGTGAGACTGGAGTCTCACCACAGCTCTGCAGAAGCAGTATGAACACGAACGTGGAGGCCTGAAAGAACAGAGCCGGCTGGTGGACGAGGGGACACGGGGGGTGGGGTGGGGTGAGGGTGGGGGGTGGATGAGGACGTGTCTACACGGAGGCTGCTTGCCCAGAGCTGAGACAGGTCGAGGTGACAGCCCCAGTCCGTGTTCCCCTCCTCTCCTTTTCCTCTCCACATCTAAGAATTTCCATAAGCGGAGCTCAGCCCTGGCAGAAAGCTCTGGAAATTGTCTTTTCTTTAAAGCTGAAGAGGAGAAGTGCCGATACGATATTTTCATAGGGGCAAATAATTCTGCAGAGGTGACTAGTGAGGTCTTCGGCTTCCCTTCTCCTCTGGTTTCCTCTGCAAGAAAAATTCTCTGTCCTACCTTCCCACGCCATTTCCATGCCTCAAAGAGAGCCCAGGTGAGGCTCTCCTCATATTGGAAGATTTGGTGATGCCTCCACCGTTCCCCCTGCATCTCCACTGCTCTGTCTAGTATCTTAGGTCACTACCCACACATCTGCCTGATTGTGTGCCCATATCATGGGGATCACATTCTCATGGCGGAGGAACACAGGGCTTCCATTCCCCAGGGTGTGACACAGTGGCCCCGTGGACAGCGTAGTGCTGAAGGCCTAGAGAGGCCTCATGGGCTAACCTTTGTCCTCTTCTCCCTGACCCTGCAGCAGAACCTGGTATGGGCAGTGATGATTGCCATCCCCCTGGTCACCGTCCTGTACGTTCTGGTCAATATCAGTTACCTGCTGGTCATGTCACCCTCGGAGATCCTCTCCTCTGATGCCATGGCTGTGAGCTGGGGGTGAGTGAATCACGTGGTCTGTATCTTGCATTTAGGGATAGGGAAGGAGGTTGCTCTATGTTGAGCTGAACTTGCCTTTAAAAGCATTGTTTTGCCCGACAGTGGTGACGCATGCCTTTAATCCCAGTACTCGGGAGGCAGAGGCAGGTGGATCTCTGTGTACTGGTCTACAGAGCGAGTTCCAGGACAGGCTCCAAAGCTACACAGAAAAACCCTGTTTAGAAAACAAAACAAAACAAAACAAACAAACAAATGCATTGTTTTTTTTTTCTACTTCCCAGGAGGCCTTGTGGCCCCTTTCCAAGTCACTGCTAGGAGTTCTTTTCCTTGATCCCTCTGTTGTTTTAGGAACCAGGTTCTGGGGTCCTGGGCCTGGCTGGTGCCCTTGGCTGTTGCACTTTCGACATTTGGTACTGTCAACGGGGCATTCTTCAGCGGCAGCCGTTTGTGCTATGCAGCTGCAAGGGAAGGTCACATGGTAAGAAGTGGGATCTGGGGTCAAGGTTGGTGGTGAGGGCTGCTGGGGAGGAGCTGGGAGACCTTTCACCTATGACTTCTCCTGCCCAAGCCTAGCATTGAGCCCAAGCCTGGACCTCCCCAATCAGATGTGGCCCCTTTTTCTTCTGAGAATGGGATACAGGCATTCTCTTCCTTTCCGATCTATTCTTGATCCAAGAATTTGATCAAGTTTCAGGACTGTCATGGTCCTGGATTATGTAGGGTAGAAGGAGTGACAAAGTCTATTTGTGAACAAGAGTACAGAGGCCACAGGGAAGAGGCCCCAAGTATATACAATGCCCCTTTCCCTCTGAGATTCTTTGATCCTGTTAGCTCTTACTATGATAATAATATTGAATAACAGACAACCCCCAACCCCCAGGGGCTTGCCGCATTTAACTGTTGCTCTTCGTGTTAGCTGTGACCCTGTTTGTTTGGGTCATTCTTATTTTGGAATGAGTCTGTTCCTCTTTCAGGGATCCAGGAGAAAGCAGAGATGGCTCCTGCGAGCCTTTCTTGATTAATTCAGAAATCGGGGTTTAAGATGTCAAACCAAACATATAATCACACTTAGAGCATTGGCTTGTCTTTTGTGCTCGTGTTTTGTTGGATGAATCAAGTGACACAACCTAGCCCACATCAAGAGTTGAGAACTACATGCCTGATATAGAGGCAAAGAGAGGGAGACTGATTATTTGGAGGATAGTAATCCAGTGTATCACAGTAAGACAAGGAAACCTATTATGGAAGCCATGGTACTGATGATCATTAGATTGGGCACACTGGTGTCCAAAGCATGATAGGAGACAGAGGGCTTATTGTAGCTTGAACAGCCTCTCTCACGCTGCTGTCTTCCAGCCTCAACTTATGTCCATGATTCATGTGCATCGACTTACACCAGTTCCAGCCCTGGTCTTCACCACGGCTGTGGCTTTGGTCCTGGTCATTCCAGGAAATTTCAGCACCTTCGTGAACTTCTTGAGGTAAGTGAGCTATTCACAGGCTGGTATCTCTGTCCTAGACATCTCTGTATCTATGTACTCTTAGATGTACCAACTCACACTTATCTGCACATATAAAGGTGTGTGTTCTCTTCTGGAGAGTTCCTATGTGTCTGCGTGTGTGTGCATACATGTACATGCATGCACACACACAACACAAATACATGCATGCACACACTTAAATTTTCTCACCATAGCAATTAAAATACCTGACAAGAAACAACTGAAAGGAGGAAGGATTTATTTTGACACATGTAGGGTACAGACCAGCATGGCAGGGAGACATGGAAACTGGATTGCTTGGAGCCTGTGGTGAGAGGCGTGTGTAGCTGCTTGCTCACACCGTGTGTGTAGCTGCTTGCTCACACCTCAGTGGACCAGGAGCAAAGAAAGAACAGGAAGTCAGGTGTTATAAATCTCAAGACCTGCCCACTCACCCAGAAACCCATTTCTTTACTGAGCCTCCATCCCCTACATATCAGTAATCTCCCAGAACAGTAACTCCAAATGTTTAAATGTTTTAAATACATGAACCTCTGGGGTAATAATATCTATCTATCTATCTATCTATCTATCTATCTATCTATCTATCTATCTATCTATC